AAAGAAGAGAAACAGGAAACAGACGTATAGAAAGAAAGGAAGGAAGGAAACAGGAGACACAAAGAAAAAGACATAGAAGGGAGAAAGAAAGAAAGCGAAAAAGAAAGAGGAAAGAGAAAGCGAAAAAAAAGAAAGAGGAAAGAGAAAGCGAAAAAGAAAGAGGAAAGAGAAAGCGAAAAAGAAAGAGGAAAGAGAAAAGCCAAAAAGAAAAAAAAGAAAGAGGGAAAGAAAAAGAGACATAGAAAGAGGGAAAGAAAAAGAGACATAGAAAGAGGGAAAGAAAAAAGAGACATAGAAAGAGGGAAAGAAAAAGAGACATAGAAAGAGGGAAAGAAAAAGAGACATAGAAACAGGGAAAGAAAAAGAGACATAGAAACAGGGAAAGAAAAAGAGACATGGAAACAGGGAAAGAAAAAGAGACATAGAAAGAAGGAAACAGGGAAAGGAAAGAAAAAGAGGAAAGAAAGAAGGAAAGAGGGAAAGAAAGAGAGAAGGAAAGGAGGAAAGAAAAAGAGGGAAAGAAAGAAAGAAAGAGAGAAGGAAAGGAGGAAAGAAAAAAAGAGGGAAAGAATGAAAGAAAGAGAGGGAAAGAATGAAAGAGAGGGAAAGAATGAAAGAAAGAGAGGAGGGAAAGAAAAGATAGAGGGAAAGAAGGAAAGATAGAGGGAAAGAAGGAAATAAACAAAGGAAACAGGAGAGAGACAGAAAAAGACATAGAAGGGGGAAAGAAGGGAAAGAAAAGGAAAGAAAGAAAAGAAGGAAAGAAAAGAAGAAAAGAAAAGAAGGAAAGAAAAGAAGGAAAGAAAAGAAGGGAAAGAAAGAAAGAAAGAAAGAAAAAAAGAAAGAAAGAAAGAAACCTAGATGAATTCTGGTGACATTTGTCCAATGAATGTTTTTAAATAGACCCTTTAAAGTTTTCTCTTTTCTCCTATATCTTTTCATGAATTCTTGGTTTCTCTCCTCTGCCTTTTGCTAAATTGTAACCTGCATTTCTGCACACCCTCCCCCCCATTTTTCCCAGAGGGGTTCTACACCACTTTTGTGGTTGTGTCTTCACCATCAGTTGTAACTACCCCCTCCACCAAACCCCTGCCTCTTTTGCCAATATGTCACTTACCTTTCCCCCTTTTTTGAGTCTTTTACCCTTCATCTCCAACTTGTCACCTTTTAAATGTTATATCCCTTCCCCTTGGTCTCTTTTATCAGGATGGCACCTCTCTCCTCTATGGCTCTTTCCCAGAGTGGTTATCCCCTTTCACCACTTTCTGTCCCAGAGTTGTCACCCATTCTGTCCCTCCTTTCTCTTGTACTGAGCTCTGGCCACCCTTCCCATTCCAAAATCCAGAGATGTCACTGAATTTTCTGCAATCATGCCAGATCCTTGGCTGCTACTCTCCATATTTGCATCCTCTTTCTTTTCCAACTCTAATGAAGGGCACAAAAGCTTTCATTTTCTTATCTGATCAATGTGTGATTCCATCAAAGTAGATGAATCTGCAAACAATTGATCAGCCATAATTTCCTTCCAATCAAATTGAATTCAACCTCTATCAGATTTGGTCAAGAGATGATTGTCAAGGGATGGAATATATTGGATCGTTTAGCAGCAATTGGCACCACTGAGGTCCTGTGTTCAAGAATGCAATCGTCTTTTCACCCATCAGATTATGAGATGACATGGTGGAAACAGAGATGTGACTGATGATTTACAACCATACATTATGAGTGCATCGCAACTATCCATCAAAATCCACTTTCCTGTGTTTGTGGCATTGTGATCAAATGTGTTGTCGACTATAGATCCAGTTTTCCTTTTTAGAAGATAAGAAAAGAAATTGATCATTTCCCAAAGCGTACATGGCCACCCCAAAGCTTCTTTCACACTGGCACTGTGCTTATTGCATTCTAAAAACCAATCTGCAGTGGATCACTTTTCAGAAGGTGGCATAGCAGTGGTTGACAGAAGTTTAGGAGGCGCTACTGCCACCCCTTGTCGCCTGTTTTTTATTTCTTTATTTTAACTGCCTCCCATATAAGGAAATGACGGGGTGGGCGGTAGCTCTCTTGTTCTGGAAGCACATCATATAACATCCTGCCAGTCTAGCTGTGCATGAGCGCCCAGTGATCGGATCGCAGCAAAGAGCAGATGACACAGGCCCTATCATGTGATCAACTATGTCCAATCACAGCTGATCGCACGTAAATAGGAAATACTGACAGCGCGTGAGGAGAGCCGGTAAGCGGCATTCCTCAGAGGGGACATCTACACTGATCATCAGGGCACTGATAAGTGTAGCCCCTTCAGTGCTGCCTTTCAGTGCCCAATCAATACCACATACCAGTGCCGCCTATCTGTGCCACCTATCAGTGCCTGTCAGTTCTGCCTAACAGTTCCAATCAGTGCCGCTTAACAGTGCCATATATGAGTGCTGCCTTTCACTGCCCATCAGTGATGCCTGTCAATGCTCATCAAAGCCACCTATCAGTGCCTCCTCATCAGTACTATCAGTGCCGCCTATCAGTTCCCCTCAGTGTAGCCTATCAGTGAAGGAGAAAAATTACTTATTTACAAAATTTTATAACAGAAACTAAGAAAAAACTTTCAAAATTTTCATTCTTTTTTAGTTTAGCTAAAAATAAAAAACCCAGTGCTGATTAAATATCATTAAAAGAAATCTGTCTCAAAAAATGGTAAAAATGTAATTTGGGTACAGTGTTGCATGACCGTGCAATTGTCATAGTGCGACAGCACTGAAATCTGAACATTAGCCTGGGCAGGAGGGAGGTAAAAGTGCCCGGTAGGCAAGTGGTTAAAGTGGTTGTAGAGGCTCAGGACCAGTTCACACTACAAGTTTCAGTTGCTTTTTTCCTGCATCCAAAACATACAGAAAGTAGGTTGTCAATGTCATAGTTCACACCAGTGCTTGCAGTTCCAGTGCATTCTGGTTGCAGCTAAAAAAGTAGAAGAGGCTGCATTTTTCCTGCACAAAAATACTGGAATGCAGTAAAACGCATCAAATATGCACCAGGATGCACCAAAAATGTAATGGAACGCACATGTCCCTATTTCAACTGAAGAAAAGAGAGAGGGAAAAATAACCAGAAAGCATCAAAACCGCAACGTACACGTCAAAACCACACCGGAACGCGCCAAAAATGTGCATGCAGAAATGCATCTGGACTGCGGCTCTATGGTGTGAACTGACCCTCAAGGTTTTTTAGCATCATGTAATCTATGCATGAAGGTAAAACAACTGTGTGCAGCATCCCCCCCTACTACTTACCTGAGCCCCATTGTGATCTAGTGATGTGCATTAAAACCTTGGGTGTCCCAGGTCTCTGCCTTTCAATCACAGCCAGTGAGCCAATGAGGAGACAGAGGGGGTGGGGCCAAGCTGTGGCTCCATGTGTGAATGGACACACGGAGCAGCAGCTCAGGATTGCGCCTGCTCAGGTGCCCCCATAGCAAGCTGCTTGCTATGGGCCACCCTACAGGAAGGAGGAGCCTCTGCCTCCTTTCAATCACAGCCAGTGAGCCAATGAGGAGACAGAGGAGGTGGGGTCGAGCTGTGGCTCCGTGTTTGAATGGACACATGGAGCAGCAGCTCAGGAGCCCCCATAACAAGCTGCTTGCTATGGGGGCACCCTACAGGAAGGAGCCTCTGCCTTTCAATTACAGCCAGTGAGGCAATGGGGAGAGGGGGTGGGGCCGAGCTGTGGCTCCGTGTGAATGGAACACGGGATACACAGGAGTGCGCTTGCAGCGGTGCCCCCTCAGCTGTGCGCTTGCTCAGGGTGCCCCCATAGCAAGCTGCTTGCTATGGGGGCACCCTACAGGAAGGAGCCTCTGCCTCCTTTCAATCACAGCCAGTGAGCCAATGAGGAGACAGAGGGGGTGGGGCCGAGCTGTGGCTCCGTGTGTGAATGGACACACGGTGCAGCGGCTCAGGAGTGCGCTTGCTCAGGTGCCCCCATAGCAAGCTGCTTGCTATGGGGGCACCCTACAGGAAGGAGCATCTGCCTCCTTTCAATCACAGCCAGTTAGCCAATGAGGAGACAGAGGGGTGGGTCGAGCTGTGGCTCCGTGTTTGAATGGACACACGGGCAACGGAGCAGCGGCTCAGGAGCCCCCATAACAAGCTTCTTGCTATGGGGGCACCCAACTGGAAGACGAAGCCAGAAGCACCGGCGGGGAACCAAAGAAGAGGATCTGGGATGCTCTGTACAAAACCACTGCACACAGCAGGTAAATATAGACGTTTGTTATTCAAAAAAATAAAAACCTGAACATGCATCATACTAGCGGTGCCAATATTTCATATCACCCCAAACACAGGTAGCAGTTGGGCGTTTTGTAGCAAAGCACCAGAAGATACATTGCGAAAGCACTGGAGGCTCAAAATGGGGTGCAGGAGTGGCTTTGCTGTGTTCGTCACCCATAGGACCGTTCATGAGGTCTACCACATGCTGGAGTGCAACAAATGTGCACAAGAAGTAAGGCCTTGAGTCACACGGGTGTGAAAGGAGCCCCTAGAGCCCTGAGCTCCCAGCAGCCTCTCTCCAGGTGTGAGGTGCCATCTGATGACACACAACACACGCTGTCCGCCTATTCTGCGTCCCTGTCCCATAACACATTGCGCACACCCCATTCCCGCCCACTCCTAGCCATCCAGCACCCTGTGTGCCCCTCTACTATATATACATCAATAGGGGGAGGGCGAATCATCCATCCGGACACCTCCCACTTACACATGAACGGCGCAGTCCGAGCGATCAAACCTGAGCGGCCGGAAGCCAATAACTAAGGTCGTAAGACCTAACCAATCAAGTCATGCGTTCCACGGGACCCGGAAGTGGCAGTGTAGGTCAGAAGGAATATACGGTGCCATGTGGTGTACGGTGCTGTGTAGTGATGATCGGTGAAGGGAAGGGTGTGTGATGAATGCACACTGATACAGGAGTCAGTGATGTGTGTGTTGTAGCAAGCTGGGTGATGAAGGATGGCAGTGCCAGCAATACAGGGCACCGGCTACCATCTCCGGAGGATGCTCACCCATTTTCCCCAGGATATCAGCCTCGCCTTCGCCTATGGATCAGCGGTGTTCAGACAGACCGGGGCCTCCCAGAGCCATGCCAATGTAAGATGGTGAACGCCAGCCGATTGCCAGGATGGCTGGGAGATGGGAGTCTCTGTGCAGGTAAGGGGTGTCTGGAGATAACAAGCTGCACAACTCTGAGCCTCGGTTCACATCTGTCCGGGTTTGCCTTTGCACGGGTATGGCAGGCCATTCATTCGAATGGGCTGCTGCGCCTGCATTTCCCACAGAAAAAAGGTTCATGCAACATCTGGAAACGCAGCGGCTGGAAAATCGCATGGTGTTCTTGCAGCATGCAATTTCTGCACCCGCAGATGCGCTGCGAGTAGAGATGTGTGGGGGTGTTATTAAGAATGAAGAGCAGCCCCATTCCCTTCTAAAAAGCAGCGCTGAAAAGAAGGGATGCCGCTCACTGACCCGGTGCTGGATGTGGCCTCAGCCAACACTGCTGCAGCCACACCACTGACGCGTTTCACATCGCCCCGCTGTGACCAGGCCTAAGTGGGTGGGGTGAAATGTGTAAGATGACATGGGTGGGGCAAAATGTGTCAGCTGACCTGGCTGGAGCGGCGTTGGCTGAGGCCACATCCATCTACTGCTGAAGCACCGGGTCAGTGAGCGGTGTCCCTTCTTTTCAGGACTGTATTCACACCGCTGAATGATGCATAGGTGCCTGCTCCCTTCACTGGATGACCGGTGGGGACATTCTTGTTTTCCAGCTTGGAGCAGCACTACAAGTGATGTACAGATCTAAAGAGCAGCTCATTATGGCTGTTGTTGCGAATATGGGAACAGCTGCAATTTTCACACCTGCATCCACCCTTCATAGTGTGAACCTAGCCTAAAGGTGAATATTGCCCTTGCTATAGGTGACGGCCATTTATGTGCCTTATGAAGTCTGGCTGGAATACTCCCAGGACATTGATAAGTGAGGCCTACATGTTACTGCTCACTTCCACCATCACAGGAGTGAGCTGTCAGACGCTGAGCTCAGAGCTGCTGTATCAGAGGAGAGACAGAGCATGTGAGGGGGGACTGAATGAGAGAAAACGCTGGCTCCTGTGATGGTGGAGGTGAGCAGTAATGACTAGGTCTCACTTAGTAACGTCCTGGGAGTATTCCAGTCAGGCTTCAGGAAGTATGTAAATGGCCTACACCTATAGCAAGGACATTGTTCAACTTTAATCAGAGTTGAAAAGTTGTTGCAGAGTTTGTTTGTTGCAGACGCCCTTACCTGCATGGGCAGTTGCTTGGTAAAGGAGAACCTACCTTTTAAAGTAAAATTAAAGGTAAAACTTTTTTTTCTTTCATTTTGGATAGAGTAATGGAGGGTTATAACCCATGTCTGGTTTATTTGCCAGCTGTGTCCCATTGGAACAATTTCTTTTCACTTGCTGTTCCATAGCCATAACTGGAAGTGAGAGGAATTCCCTCCAAGTTGAGAGAGTTCCAGGGTGTTAGCAGAACTAGCGTCCCCTTTGGAAGGCGTCTTCTCTATTAGTGTTCTGGGGGCAACCCAAAATGTATTTTCTTTTACTTTCACTTTCAATGATAATGGTAAACAGAACAAATAGGGTGAATCTCCCTAATAAGAAACTTACAGGTCATCTAATCTCTCTCCATTCTGTCCAAAACTAAATTAAAAAAAATAGTTTTGCCTTTAGTTAGACTTTCAAGTAGAATTATATGGCAGAAGTTTTTTGGTTTTTTTTTCTCATTTTGGATAGAGTAGGGGTGGGTTTTAGCTCCTGTTGGTTTATTTTTTGTCATCTGTGTCCCATTGGAGAGATTTACCTTCTTTTCCTGTTCGTTAGCTAAACAGGAAGTGAGAAGAAATCCCTGCAAATTAAGAGAATCCCTTGGGGACCCCCAGGTCACCGGAACTACTGTCCCCATTGGAAGATTTCTCCTCTATTACAGTTCTGAGGACAAACCAAAATTTGGAGTTTTCTTTTACTTTAATTTTCAATGATAACGGTAAACAAGTCAGTAATAAAACCTGACAGGGGGTCTAATCCCTCTCTCCACTCTATCCAAAACAGGAAAAAAAAGTTTTGCCTTTAGTTATACTTTGTTAGTGTACACAAAGTGATGTTTCATTTTTAGGTGGAGTCTGTTCAGACTTTTTTATTTGTTGGTCACATTCTGAGATCCTTTCTCAGTAAGTCTTTTTATCAAGTTGTGTGGGTTTTTTTTTGTTTTTGTTTTTTTTTTGTCCTCCAATCAGTGGAGGGTCTGGGCATTATGCAGCAACAAAGAGATGACATCCAAGCAATTATATAAAGTAATCAGTACCCAGGAGGAAGAGTGGGAGCCTCTAAGACCCCTTTCACACAGTTGATCCATTAGTCCCTTTTTGACCCCCGATTAGATGAATCTTAAACAGACTGCGATATATTCCAATGGGCCGGCGGATGTAAGTGGCTGTGTATTCTTTTACACCTGAGACTCTTCAATTTCATAGGACCAAACCCAGTATATTTGTGTCTAGGTCCACTTTTGCAGACTTGGCTGGGTGTGGGATGGATATAGGCGGATGCATGTATGGTTACATGTATTTCCTCCATCACATACCCAACATCTGTGTCCATCTTGATTCAATTCACCTGGAGGTCAGTCTATGGATCACTTGCTGAGATGGAATGGAGGCACTCATGTGAAAGCCTTATATTCATTGTGAAAGGTGTGCAGACATGGCAGATCACGTGGAGATGGGTAAGAAGATCTGTTGGGTACTCTATCCCTGCCTTTGCAGGTTGATTGATGATTTACAATAATTTCCTTGTTAATGCACAGATGGCGATGAGAAATCACACCAAACAAGGACTGAAGTTGGATAGAAGGTAGTATGTGTTTTAGGACTTTCCCTGGTAACGAGGTCTCCTTAAAGCGGAACTTCACTCTCTCAATCAACATGGACTATTTCTAATCCTTAAGCTGCTAGCATTAGTAAATAGATAGAAAAGTATATCATATTTACTTGGTGTAACCTCTTTTTTGCATTACTTCATTTACCTCCTGGTTTCCATGCCTAGGCAAATGTTATACATCCAAGGAGTCTTCAGGAGAGGAGGGAGGGTTCCCAGCTCAGCCAATGCCTGATCTAAGGACAGATGGATTCCAGGAAGTAACTGCTACATGAATCATCAGGATGGCCACTCCCAGATATGCCAGGAGGTGTTTTTTTTAAAATGATTTCTCAGCAATTGTATAGCATTTTTGGTTTGTGGTATTCAGATGCAGTGCAGTTCCACTTTAAACTAGATGTCATCACAAGCTACTTTGACTATTGTCCACATAAGAAAGTGCTAATTCAAATGATCCATGTATGTTCAAAGTGTGTTAGAGGTTACATATCCCCCCTATGATTAATAAATATTTGTTAATCTATTCTATTTACCGAATGACATATTTGTCTTCCAGAGCAACATGCTGGACTTTGTGTTTGCAGTTGATGACCCTGTCACATGGCATACCATGAATTTAATGCAGAGCCGGAGTCACTACTCATTCCTGAAATATCTGGGGCCCAAACAAATCACTAATGTCCAGAATAAGTATGGAGCCGGAGTCTATTTTAACACGCTGGTTCCATGTGATGGAAAGGTATGTTTGTTCCCTGGGCACTGCTCTCTATGATTGTACAATTGAATGTCCATGCTGCAAACAGGGGACCTCCATCTAAAGCACAAACCTCAGAAATATGTAATAAAGAAAGCCATGTGTTATCAGAAAAGCTGTGTCCTTTTGCACTCACTGATACATCATTTGAAATAAAAACAGGTTTGCAGCCTATAAAGTCTTGCCTGTTTTACTGGTTTCCAGTAGAAAAAGTCATTGTACAAAAAGCTATTTGATCCTAGAATATGATACCAGTTTTTCAGGAGAAAACTGTACACTCCTGGAGTATTATTGGGTGGGGACACTTAGTTCAACTTCAGCAAATCATCACTTTCTTTTTTTTTTTTTTTTTTTTTTTTTTTTTTTATGCTCATGATACAGTTGTAGAAAATAACAAAAAAGGGAGGAACAGAGAGACCTGAGACCTGCAAATGTAATATCTAAAGCATAGTTCTCACAATCTTGGAAATAATAAAGAGATGAGGAACAGGGAGGCCAGAGACATACTCATATAATATCCGTAGCATAGTCATCACAATTCTAAAAAATAATAAAGGGTTGAGGAACAGGGAAGGCTGGAGACCTGCTAAAATAAAATCCGTAGCATAGTCCTCACAATTCTAGAAATAATAAAGAGATGAGCAACAGGGAGGCTGAAGACTTACTAATATAATACATGGCATAGTCCTTGCAATTCTAGAAAGAATAAAGAGACAAGGAACAGGGAGGCTGGAGAATTACAAATGTAATATCCATAGCATAGTCCTCCACAATTTTATGAAGGAATAGCATTCTCTAAATGGAGAACTGGGGGATGAATGAAAGGTCAGCCTCTTCCATTCATGAACACATTTCTATAGTACAGCTTCTATGAATAGAGGAGTGGGGCAGAAAGGGCAGGCATAGTTTGCACTCTTGGTGAGTGTCTGTCACTCCTGCAGTACCAGAAGTTTATGGGAGGGGACAGAGAACTTCAGATTTCCACTATGGTCTTCAGCACAAGGGACCCCTTGCACGAAAGTGATATTTTTAAACAAAAAAACTTAACAACAACTGTGCCATACTTACCTGCTCTGAGCAGTAGCTTTGCACAGAGCAGCCCTGATCCTCCTCTTCTTGGGTATCTTACTGGCGCTCCTGGCCCCTACCTCCTGCCTAGTGCCCCTATAGCAAGCAGCTTGCTATGGGGGCTTTGGAGCTCCTGCTATGTGTCCATTCACACACAGAGCATGTCTCGGGCTTGCACCCACTGTCTCCTTATTGGCTCACTGGCTGTGATTGACAGTAGTGGGAGCCAATGAGGAGGGAAAGCTGAGGCTCTCGTGCATAACGCTGGATCGAGATGTGGCTCATGTAAGTTTTAGGGGGGGTTGGGGGTGCTGCTGCACAGAAGTTTTTTTTTACCTTCATGCTAGAATGCATGATGGTAAAAAACCTTGAGCCTTTACAACCACTTTAAAAGTAAGTAATGTCCCTTGTGGTTTGTTTGGGGGGTTTTTTTTTTCATTACCTTTAACAGATTTATAGTATACATAAAATAAAGTGCAGCGCTAAACATATATAGATAATGACATGTATTCAATCAGTTCGAGTATAAAAAGTCCTCCTCAATTAGGTGACAGAGATTAGGTGCTCAAGTATGCAGGTGACTTAGGTATTCAGTGACTTGGTTCAGGTATCCGTGCACGAAAGTTGCAATGCGCACTCACCAGACCCGCATAAAATATTTTTTGTGTATAAATGATCCAGATGTCATCCGATACTAGGTGAGCACAGAGAAACACACATGTGAAGGAACAGCAAGGAGCACTCTAATTTGCAGACCTGCTCCTGGATACACCGGAGGGACCCAGACCAGATCCTTTAACGTCCAACACCAGGGGGACCCCTAAGTGGAGAGGATCATCAGCTTCATACACAGCTGAGGGAGGACCACCCAGTATCGGATGACATCTGGATCATTTATACACAAAGGCGCATATTTTTATGCGGGTCTGGTGAGTGCGCATTGCTTTATCACTTTCGTGCACGGATACCTGAACCAAGTCACCTGAATACCTAAGTCACCTGCATACTTGAGCACCTAATCTCTGTCACCTAATTGAGGAGGACTTTTTATTGATCGAACTGATTGAATACATGTCATTATCTATATATATGTTTAGCGCTGCACTTTATTTTATGTTTAGTAAGGTCTTCTAGGGGTTATTGGTACCTTCATTCGTGCATAGCAGCTTTACAATTGTTTAGTACTAAGGCCTTCTCTCCAGTCACTTTCAGATTTATAGGATAACTCCAGTCAAAATGTTTGTTTTTCCATTTTGGAAAGAATGGGGAAGAGTTAGGCTGGCCATACATTATACAATTATCTTCCTATTTTCTGCCCAATTTCCTGATTTACCTTCAACTGTGTAGTGCAAGGGCCTGCCTAATTGGATACAACTGAAAGTGTTGTTTAGGTTTGTCCCTCCTATTATATGGTTTTTGGTAAATCTAAACCAAAAATCTCCAGATAATTGTAAAATGTATGGCCAACCTTAGTATCTCTCAGATGTCAGAGGCTGTCAGTGCCCCCCTCGGTCAGATTTTCCTACACATCTTGTCACCAGAGATGCACCAGTAAGCGAGCCATTACTCCAGAATGAGGGGAAATCTTACACTTGACAGTTTTCACAAGTGCATCCATTGGAAGATATCCCTGTACTCCTGTTGATAGCTGTAAAACGTTAGATTCCCACTCATGTTACCTCCCAGTAACAATATTCACCAGGACAAATATTAAGTGTAGGTCTTTCATGCAGAGTATAGATAATAAGGACCTTATCCCTTAAATTTAGGCTGGATTTCTACTTTAAATAATTAGAATATGGACAGCGCCAAAAACAATCACCTAACCAATGTGAATATTAATATACAAAATTGAAAGAGCTACTCACCTAACACTTAACCAGGTGTGCATATAACTCAAAAAAAAAAAAAAAAAGAAGGTAGCTCTCTATTCTAAATTTCCACAGTGTATAAACCAATCATATGTAAAAATCAATAAAAATTGGTTTCAATAAAAATCATATATCACGTGAATTATCCCCAATTAAAAGTCGTGTCCTTATATGAAATTATTATATAATAATTATAAAATGTTCAACACCAAATCCAAAGTGCTTGTTATGTTCAATGTTCTACCTTCATGTGAAAAAACAAATCACCGTGCACAAATCCACCACCAGATAGATTGAATAAACTCAGTTTATTTATTGGTGTTGGACATTTTATAATGAATTAATTTCATATAAGGACACTGCTCTTGTTGGGGATAATTCACGTTATATATGATTTTTATTGAAATCTGAAACCAATATTTATTATTTTTATTGATTTTTACATATGATTGGTTTATACACTGGAAATTTAGTTAGCGCGCTACTTTTTTTTTTTTTTGGATTTCTACTTTAAATGCAAACTAAATCTACTCCTTAGCATACACCCACAAGTGTCATAAGCAGTAGCACTGCTTTCCCAGTCAATGCTACATCCCCACTGAAAACCTGCTACTCCTTGGTATTGAACACACATACACATTCTCTCTAATTTCTACATTGCAGTATTTAGTTCTGCAGGGGTCGGTTGCAAGGACTGTTGTACTGGTGGGTTTGGTGTACCTAGCAGTATTCAGATAGAAAACGTTCAGAAAGTAGATTTTTGTAATGGCATGGACTAGGGCAATGGGCCAGAGAACTGACCACAAGTTGCAGCACTGGTTTATGACTGTTATGCAGCTGGAAAGGTAGTTTTGTATTTGATTTGTAAATTCTTGGTGTGCTCTAAGGGTGCCCCATATATGATGTCTGTCTATAAACAGGACAGGATATGTAGGTAGGCTTTTGTTCATGCCAGTTTTATTTTTCTCTGCACGGACCATGGGGTTGATTTACAAAATCTGGTGTAGCTCTACATAGAAAGCAATCGGCTTCCAGGTTTTTTTTTTTTTTTTGTCAAAGCTTAACCACTTGCCTACTGGGCACTTATACCCCCTTCCTGTCCAGGCCAGTTTTCAGCTTCAGCGCTGTCGCACTTTGACTATTGCGCGATCATGCAACACTGTACCCATATGAAATTATTGGGTTTTTTTCACACAAATAGAGCTTTCTTTTGATGGTATTTAATTGCCGCTGGGTGTTTTTATTTTTTGTGCTATAAACAAAAAAAAAAAAAGCAAAAAAAAAAAAAAAAAAAATTTTTTGTTTCTATTATACAATTTAGCAAATGGGTAATTTTTCTCCTTCACTGATGTGCATTGATGAAGCGGCACTGACTGGCAGCACTGATTGGCAGCACTGATGGGTGGCACTGCTGGGCACGGATTATCTGTTTTCTAACAATTGCCGGTTATCGGCAGTACTTTCCTCACGCTGTGACAGCATGAGGAAAATTCAGCAGACAACCGGCAACTGCATTTACCCAGTGACCTGCTGTGTCATTGGACACAGCTGATCGTGTGTTAAAAGGCTGCTGTGATTGGCCTTTTACCACATCACGGGATCAGCTGTGTCCGTAGGACACATCGATCACGGAGATTGCTGTGGGTGTGCGGGAGGGCGTGTTCTGGGAGGACGTCGCATGACGCCCTCCCAGAACTAGACAACCACGCTGTAGCCATCATTCGGTTGTCAAGTGGTTAACTGAACAAGCTGAATGGCTGCCATGCACAGCTGCACCAGATTTTGCACTCTCCAGTTTAATTAAATCAACCCCATGTCTTCAAGCTATGGTAAAGACACAAAATAGAGCATAGCCTTCATAAAAAAGGTGTTTATCACCAGTTTACAAATCAAGGCTAGGTTCAGCTTTACAAGAATTAAAAAAAATAATAAATGCACATTTTTGCAGGAAAAAAATTTATTTATTTTTTTTACAGGGGCTTGCAAAGCAATGCACCCATGATCGGTGGATTGTGTGTGTGTGTAATGTCTGGCTCCTGCAGACACTTCTCCAGCTCTCTCTGCCCATACCTTTTTGTATGGGTTTTAATTTAGAAAGCTGCAGTTAGTGTCATTGGACTACAAGTGCGCTTATTACTGCACTTGTATTCCATTGAGGACCACAAGTCTGTTAGCCCTGGATGTGTATTTCATTAATTTACAGATCTCTGTGAATGAATGATGCAGCTGTGTGGGCAGACAGCAATTGTGGGAGAGAGGAATGGGTGGGGAGCGAGTGCTTAGGAACATGTTACACCCTAAATATGGATATAACATGCAACATATTCCCACAGGTGAACTTAGCCTTTAAAATATTTTAGGGATGCTATTTTCCTGTAAAAGCCATCCTTGTGTAGACATCCAAAGTGTCTGATACTGCTGCTGGGTGTCACCATCTTTAGATGTGATGTCAGCAGTTCCAGCAGACTAAGAGCTGTCTCTCAAGTATTTCTGTTTACTTCTCCCCCCAGCAGCTACATAAAAAAAAAGAGGTAAGGGGAGAGACAGCGGAGCTGGGCCAGCATAGAGAGCTAGAAGAGAAGGCTGTGATGTGCAAGGAAGGAGTGTGACATGCAACGTATTTGACTCTTCCTGGAGTAATCATGTTTGCTAGCAAGTTTAAAATCACATTTTATGCCACTGCGGGGAAAAAAACATTCTGTGTAAACGCTCTGTTTTTCTATGATTTACTGGCAACCTTTTAAGTTGGTTGACATGTTCTCTATAAATATAGTAAGCAAAGTCATGCAATTTATTTTATTTATAACCCTGTGGACAACTGTACCCCCTTACAGACATCATTTTATACTGTCATCAAACTTTGATACAGCAGTTTCAAGCACATTTGTTTTTGAGAGCACATGATATAGAAACCGTTAAGTCTTGGCTTTGGGGAGTTACAAGATAGTTCAGTTATTCAGATTAAAGTGAGATGGTCCTAAGGGACCCAAAAGTCCTTTTTCTTAAATACTGTGACTAATATTACTAAAAATCGAGGAATAGGTCTTGTGTTTGAAGAAAGCAGTACTGTATGGATCGGTGTGTAAAACAAAAATGTGCAATTAGAACTGTACAGTGTTTTCACTTTCAGGTTATGGTGTGTTTTACAGCATCTTTCTCCTCTATCTTGTAGCATTTTAATCAATACATCAATGCATTTTATATTAAAAGAGAGTATGGCTTGAATATCTCCTGATTTTGTATTCAAGGTCCAAATGAACTTGTACTGTATATATGGGACTTCCTTGTCACAGCTTAATGTCTTATTTTCCCCAGGTCATCAAATATGGGATCGTCAGTACTGATACTCTCATTGAAGACTTGCTTTATTGGAAGACTTTGTACATTGCTGGTCGTTTACATAAACCGGTAAGATGGGGAGAATGAAAGCTGGAGAAGGAATCATGACGGGAAATGTTTTTTGTACTTGCAGAGGTAAACCTTAAAGTGGTTGTAAACTTCAGACATGAAAATTGAACAAAGCATTATTCCTCTATAGTGTGCACTTGTTTAAGTCCAGAGCACTGTGTCATTACTGTCTGCTGCCTAGTTCTTCTGCTATAAGCATGGGTCATTGCTGACAAGTTTTCCTGACACCAAGAGAAAAATGGTGACAGGGAAGAGACCTTCAGCAGAGTGACAGCATCAGCTCTCTTCCTGTGAGCTGTGTCCTCTTCCCTCCAATCAATTTTCAGAGCTCTCCTCACTGATGTAACTTCAGCTTCCCACCCCCTGCTTTTCAGAGCTGAGAGATCCTGTGTAAATTTTGCACTTTGACTGGTAATAAGGGGAAACTGGCTGTAGATAGACAGATACAACTTATGTAGGATGATTTTTTTTTTTAATCTCTGTGTACTATCAGAAGACCAGTCACTTCACTGGGTACAACCACATTAAGGACTCGTGTACATAGGTGTTTTTTTTTCCCTGTGATTGACATGCATTTAAAACACACGCGCCAAACAAAGGGTAGAAAATTCCTATTCACTTTAACCCCTTGACGCCGACGTCACACAAATATGTGGCCTCACGGAACTGGGCATTTTTCTGTGGGGCCGCATATTTGCGTACCTGTCTTTGTGATGGGAGTGCGCCACTCAGCGCGCTCCCAGCACAAAGACCGTGGTGTCACTGAGAGCCCCAGGTCCCGATTGTTAGAATGGGACCCGGGACTCCCGATTCCGGGCCACATGATCGCTGTGATTGGCTATCACAGTGATCAGTCACTGTACAGCCTGGCCCCCTTGCTTTTCTCTCTCTATGAATGGAGAAGAGGGATACATTGTATCTCTCTAACTCCTAGCATAGAGAGAGAGAAAAATACCTAGATCAAGGTTTGATCTAGTTCAGTCCCAGGGTTAGTGTTTGGGTCAAAAGGTCAGGATTTAAAAAAAAATTGGTGTCCGTGTCTGTGTTTTAGGTGAAAAAAAAAGACAAAAACAAAATGTGCACTATTGTTTCTGGGTTGTACTACAGGTACAAACAACAAATAGCATACACATATATGGTATCGCTGCGATCGTCAAGAGCTGGAAAATTTATTTTGGGTTGTTCGTTGATGGTAGGTTATGGTAGTAACAAGAAACACACAGCTAAATTAAAAAGATGATTTTTTTTTTTACTATTTTGAGCCAGTTTTCCTTTGATAATAAAAAAAATAAAAATCAGGAGCTATCCATTACCATTTACCACCAAATGAAAGCCCAATTTGGCCTGAAAAAAGCAAGGTATAATCCACCTGGATGTACAAAGTAGTTGTGATGATATGTACGGTTTTACTAACACATGTCAATGTTGCAGAATTGTGCTTGGGCATTAAGATTTGTTTTACTCTTAGGTGTGAAGGGGTTAATAAGGCAGTACAAAGGTTTGTGCAGAGGCTGCGTTTGACCTGATTTTCATTGTGCTGCATTTTTTTTTCTTTTCTTCTTCTTGCTGCTGAAGGGATTGGAATACTTCATGGAATATTAGGATTTAGATAAATTTCATTGTCGATCCTTTTTTTAACCTGAAGAACATTAGCAAGAATCAAGCTCCCCTCTGAAGACCGTCCAGAACTCAATTATGGATTCTGTAGCTGGTGCATTCCTATAAAATTGTGTATTCAGTGTCACCAGTAGGGAATTGCAACCATTACTAGTCACAGTTTATGGCAGTTCTCTATACCTGTTTATTGGTTGCTTCTAAAACACAAATGGAAAAAAAGAGGCTGCTGTTGCCAATGTCCTTCTAGAAATTCTAACTCCTGACAGTCTCTCAATGCAGGCTTTATCTCTAGTCTTGTTTCAGGCCAGTGACTCAACATTTTGAAGCCTTTGGTTCAGTATATTACCCAGGCAAATAGTATTTTATAAAAGCTACAATGTGCTCTCTCAGTTCAGGTTTCCTTTAAAGTACTTCACTACCTAGGCTCCTCCTGTCTGAAGGTGCTGCTGAGGCTATGGGTTTTTCACTTTGCAAGGGAAGTTGAACTTTGAATAAGACATTTCTCCAGAGCTTTAGTAAATGTGAAGTTTTACTTTGGAAGGAATACCTAATCATGTGCAAGGAAAATTTACAAAAAATGCATTTTTGCTTGCAAATGGCTGGATGAAGGAAGCGAAAGTTTCTGTGCATATACTGTGTGTATGTATATATAGTAGTGCTCAGCATAAATGAGTACACCCCAACAGATTTGTTAGAAAACCTTTACTTTCCTTTCAGAATCAAAATGTTCTATTTGACACTATATTACAAAATACTACCACAAATGCAGGCCATTGATTGCAAACAAGATTTGTTAATTTGCACACACAAAAAAGTATTTTTCCTAACAATTTCATTTAAGCCCATGTTGCAAAAATGCACCCCAATGAAAGTCTTAGGAGCAAGGCTAAATTTAAGACAACAAAATCCTAATTAACAAGAATCCGACTACAGGTGAGTCTAACTATTCATTAAACAGGTGTCCAGGAGACAGATGATTATAAACTGGCATTATTTAACAAAGAAAACCCCTTCCCATTTCATGCTGTCAGCAATGGCACCACGTGGAAGAGAAATGTCACAAGGCCTGAGACAGAAAATACGTTTTTTTTTACACAAGAAAGGTGAAGGCTACAAAATCAGCAAAGCTTTACTTATCAATCAGAATACTGTAGCAAAAGTGATACAAAAAATTAACAAAGATGGAACTGCAACCATCTCACAGAGACATCCAGGAAGTTAACACTTTGACAGGAGTGTCTTCTGATGAGAAAGGTTGAAGAAAATCGCCATGGATGTTCACTGTAGTTAGCTAAAAAAGTAGAAAGCCAAACTGGTGATTATTTCCCGTGACACAATACGGCGTACACTGCAGAGGAGTGTCATGCATGGGTGTTGTCCACGAAGAAAGCCTCTCCTGAAGCCCGTGCACAAAAAAGCCTGCCTAGAATTTGCCAGAGCCCATGCTGAAAAAGACTACTGGGAAATGTTTTTGGAACTGATGGCTTCAAAACTGTATGGTGTCGCATAGGCGAGGAGTACAAAGAAAAATGCATGGTGCCTACAGTGAAACATGGTGGTGGCAGTGTCCTTCTGTGGGGCTGCATGAGTGTTGCTGGTGTCGGGGAGCTACATTTTATTGATGGTATCATGAATTCACAGATCTACTGCTCTATATTGAAAGAGAAGATGCTATTACTCCGTGGCCCTGGTTGTCATGCACTTTACTACATGACAATGATCCAAAACACACATCTAAGGCCACTGATGCATTTCTGAAGAAGACCAGGGTGAAAGTGATTCAGTGGCCAAGTATCTCTCCTGATCTGAACCCAATCGATCACCTATGGGGAATTCTGAAGAGACACGTTGAGCATCACTCCCCACTGAGCATCCAAGCTCTAAAAGAGGTCATTCTTAAAGAGTAGAAAAAGATAGATGTTGCAATATGTCACCAACTTGTTCATTCCATGACTAGAAGGTGGTGTCCTTACAAATCATGGCCATACAAAATACTAGATGTAATAGTTTTTGTTGTGGGGTGTATTCATTTTTGCATCAACTAATTTGAGTAAAACTGAAGATTTTATAATCTAAGTTGTATTATTAATCTTACTTTCATGTAATGAGCTAAACAAATGTTCTAGAAAACTCAGTTTTGTCAATTTTGGAATTTGTTTTTGTGTTCATTGAGATATTGATCAAAATCTTACTTTATAAATAGATTAAACTTTGTCTCTGCTTCTTCGTAAGTAGGTGTTGCTTTTGCCAGGATGTACCTGAAATTCCGTGGACTTCTCTTATGCTCTCTTACAACACTGTGGAATAAAATTTCCTGTTTAGTCTGGGATGGTTCTTCCCTGGATGTTTCACAATAGGCTATACAAGCTAGTTTATTCAGGCTTATGGCTTTATCCATTGCCTTTTATAACAGTCTTCTTTCCTTTTACGATTTTTGCTCGTACAGCGTATTGATTTTTTTTTTTTAGGAGGTAATCTGCTATAAAATATTGTTGTTATCTTTGCCTTCTCCTAGCCACCTTATGTGGAGTTAAAGGATGATCATGTCAAGCCATTGGAGTCCGTCCAAATAAAGTTATTAGAATAAAAAACAAGTCTATCTAGAATTTTTACAGGCAACCTATTTCAGGAGTTATGAAAGTCCCCCTTTATTAGAGCTAAAATATAACAAAACAAAAAACGGTTTTGTATGGTAGTTAAGTGTTTTATATCCAATAAAAATTACTATATCATAGATAAATGTTTAAAAAGGTATTGTATTTTTATGAATTTAAAGTGTTACTAAGCCCACAACAGTAAAATCAGTCTGTATATGCAGTAAAGCATGCTTGTTATACTCACTGTGGAACATAAGGGGTTTATCCTTCGCACTCTTCTCTGATCCTCCCCTTCTTTTACTGTCCCCAATATAACTCCTGATAGAACAGAGACTGGGGGTCAAGCTGCACATGCTCAGTTTGGTGTTTATTGCTGGAGAGTTTTTTTTTTTTTTTCCTGGGAGAGTGGCCCTGTGCTGATCACAAGCAATCAGTACTGTCCAGACAGAGGGTCGGAGGTCTTGCAGCCTCATAGGGGAGAATGAAAACCCCTCCTGCAAGCTTCAACCAGTGCTCTGCTGGACACTGATAGAAGTCACAAGAGTGCTCCATGAGAAAAGGTATTTAGCAGTTTTTATTTACTAAAGTAATTTTATTTCCATGTTCTGTGTACTGTGGGAGACCAGATATAGTAAATGCAAGGTCCTGGGTTTAGGAACATTTTAAAATCATGTGAACTTATAAGAATAATTTTGTACAAAATAATTTATAACTATTAAGGGGAAAAAAAGGTATATATAATGTTCTTTATATCTATACACAAATGCTTTACCTTTTTCATTTCTG